GTAATTCCCACGTACTTTGCTTTATTTTTTGGATAAATTTCTTAAATTACCTTTATGATTTTAGTTTATTGTTTGAAAATTGATTAAATGTATCTTTACTTTTTCTTTTTGTACCCTTAACCGTAAAAATATGGACGGAAAAAATAAAATGACCGTTATGTCTCTATGCGAAATTACATTTTTAATCCTGTTTTTAACTTAACTCAAACCCTCTCAGACAGTCTGCCATCGCCATCGCCATCGCCATCGTCACCGACGGCGGTCGCTGCAAATACCGAACGGCGGAGGTCCGGGGGAAGTCGACTTCGGCCGAAGACGAACGGCGCTGGAAACACCACGGACTTCCGCCGGAGGTCGGTGAGTTTTTTTCTCCTCTGTTCTTCGTTCAAAGTCATTTCTTCCTCTATCTAATCTCTCTCTCTCATACGTCCCAGATGTATGTGACGGAGGAAGAAGAAAATAGGAGAAATTGTCTCCTTTTCCAAAGTCGTAAGTCCCAGATCTGGGAGGAGGACGGAGCAAGAATAAAATAGTGAGATCGACTCCAGCCGACGACGAACAGCGCTAGAACCACCACACGGACTTCCGCCGGAGGTCGGTGAGTTTTTTTCTCCTCTGTTCTTCGTCCAAAGCCGTTTCCTCCTCTGTATCTAATTTCTCTCTCTGAAATGTCCCAGATCTATAGCACCGATCGGCTTCCGTCTATGAGTCTGTTCGTCCCGTTTGCTAAAGCCACCGGATTGATGCAGCCAGACTTTGAACAAGTGCTCCAAAGTCTTCCAAGCGTCAGCTGCATCATCTCTGACGGCTTCCTTTCCTGGAAACAAAAGTCTGCGTCCAAGTTCGGAATACCCAGGGCTATATGGGATAAACAACTTCGCCGCGAGCATCTTCCATGTCGTGATTCATAATCGATTCATCGCAAATGTCAAATCAGATGACAAGACCTTTACCATTCCTAATTTCCCTTTGCTCAAATTCACTAAGAACGATTACACTCATCCCTTTGACATGGCTGAGCCCAGCGGTCCCCATTACGAATTTATTGTAGAGGATGACATAGCGGCTTCTGAAAGCCAGGGTATAGTGGTCAACAGCTTCTGCGAATTGGAGACAATATTTATAGAATACTGGGATCGGGAGCACTTCTTTTTCCTCCGTCACACCCGTCTGTAGATGTGGGACGTTTCAGAGAGAGAGAAATTAGATACAGAGGAAGAAACTAATTTCAATGAAGAACAGAGGAGAAAAAAACTCACCGACCTCCGGCGGAAGTCCGTGGTGGTTCCAGCGTCGTTCGTCGTCGGCCGGAGTCGACTTCTTCCGGACCTCCGCTGTTCGGTATTTGCAGCGACCGCCGTCGGTGACGATGGCGATGGCAGCCTGTCTAAGAGTGATTAGGTGGATAAAAATGTAATTTAACATAGAAGTATAACGGACAGTTTACCTTTTCCGTCCATACTTAACGATTAAGGGTATATTTAATCAATTATCAAAAATAGTAAAGATACACGTAATCAATTTTCAAACAGTAAGAACAGTAAAGATACAATTAATCAATTAATTAAATCACAAGGATAATTTAAAAAAATTACCTTTTTTTTTTTCGAATTGAACTAACTCCTACGGACTTTCCTTTTTTTTGGAATTGGACTAACTCCTACGAACTCACTACGAGTCCGAAGAATACTCGTGCTCGTCTGTGAAACAAGAACCGTAATCCGCAACCTCTGTAATCGCCAAGAGAGCAATATTTATAAAGAGTGCAATTACATTAAAGCTTTATCAACTACAATTTCGAGCTCATGTGTGGGGGAGGCATCGTTGAGGAATGACAACTGGTCTTGGAGCTGAAGCTCATCAATCAAATTGCTACCACCACTGTAGAAAGGAGAAGCAAAATCCTGTGTGTGGGGGAGGCATCGTTGAGGAATGACAGCTGGTCTTGGAGTTGAAGCTTATCAATGAAATCGCTACCACTGACGTAGAAAGATGATTCGGACAGAGGAGATCCCACGACCATGCTGTTGATGCCATATATTTCCATTGAGTAGGCGACAAAGGAGCTGGAACTAAGACTTGTAGAAGATGATCTTGAAATTGGTGGAGATCTGTTAACCAGCGTCTTAACTTTGAAGAAGTAGTTGAATATGTACACAGCAGAGGTAGCAATGGCCAATACCACGAGCCCTCATGGGCTGACATTGTTCTGGGTTCAGATCTACAAGTGCCAGTTGCTCGACCAAATACACATCACTCTAGTTGGGATAGGAGGATTGGGAGCTGGGAGGTCTCATCAGATACACTGAACATGAACTCTGGGGTCACTAAAAGCAAAAGTTGTAGGACGAAGAAGGAATAACACCATTAAGGTGTTGTCTTTTTCAGTTGATTTCCTGTTATGTGTACAAGCATCAAATGCAATGAACTAATTGCTTCATTGATCTTTATGTTGATATAGAGGGCTTTCATTAAAGTCTTCTGGGTAGAAAAACGACAATGGAAATTTATACAGTGGAAAATCCACAATGTTTCCGAGATTCAGAGTCTGTGTGGTATGTTGATCAAGAGTTCGATTGCAAACAAAAAGTTAGGATTCGAGCCAAATCCTTAATGGCAGCCGTATTGTCTGTTGCAAAATAGGGGAGAGTTCCCTGGAAATCAAAGCACAATGGAAGATAGAAGGAAGAGGAAGAGCAAGTTGGGTTTGAGTTTGAATGATTGAATTAAACCTGCGAAAAAAAGGAGTTATAATAGAGGCGGTTTTTACAAGGTCGGCAATGTTCCCATGCGGATTTCTCCCATAGATTCTTTCTCTACATAATTCAAAACCCAGCTTCAGAAGAAACTCTTCCAGAAAATGCCTCCTAAGAATCCCTAGCACTAGTTCGGTGATGATAGAGGAGACTAGAACCGAAGAAGGAGAATAAGAAGAAGAACGAGAAAAAGAGGAAGAGAGAGAGTGAGAGAATTTACCGGAGAAGTGATTGGGAGAGGGAAGATTACCTCCTGTGTGTCAAAATCGTGGCGAATGAAGTGTGACAGAATGTTTAGGAAGATTGTCAAAGGGTATTTTAGAAATTTAAAAAATATTTTAGTCACGTGATATTATGTGTAAATGGAATGTAACGGAATAAATCATAAGGATACTTTAAGAAATTTGCTCAGACTTCAAACCTCAAAAATAATGAAAGAGCCCACTATGAGAATAAGAATAAAGAAAATAACATATTATATATAAAATATATTTTTATTATATAAATATATTATTAAATCGGGCTTGGAATTGGACAAGGATTTTTGAGAAAGCTTGAGTTCAACTTAAAAAAAATCGGCATTGGTATTTTGGGCCTGAGTTCAAGTCCACAGGCCTAAATTCATGTGAAAGCCCAACTATGAATGGGTTAGGCTAGTTGGCCAATCCGGCTACGTGGCCCATGAGCAGGTCTACCAATCACTCTATTAAGTTAGCAAATCAAAAAAATTACGATGTATAAATATAATACGAATAGAAAAAAAAAAGATTGAAACGTAGAGTCAGTTTGAAAAGAATACAAATATAAATATATACAGTATAAATACATACAAAATACAAGATTTTGCACTCTACATATCTATTTACACTCTTTCCAAACTGAGCCGTAAGTCCTATCAAAACATTGAACTAACAACAAATATTACAATATGACTTTGGCACCCGTAGGGATGAGGTGCTATATATTAGATTTGTAGTTGGTAGGTTTTAATGGGGTTAGTCCTAATATATAGCTCTTGAATAAAAAAAAATCCTAATATCATTCTCGTCACCACTACCTACCCCTCCTCTTCCTATCTCTTTTGGTTTTATTTTTAACTTTTCAGAAGTGTCAAAAAAGTTTTCGAGCAATTTGGTAGTTATACATAAATAGAATTTCTATGTTAAGTTAAAAATGAGATTAGCCAAACAAATTAAATCCAATCATTTTCAGGAAATTCCATTAAATTGGAATATGTAGAACTTAATTCTACTTATTTTCTAATTATATATGTATTAAGGCTCTGAAAGGAGTATGTACGGTATAAATACATACAAAATAATACGGAATACAAACTCTACAAATTTATATTTATACTCTTTCCAAACTGAGCCTAAACGATCTAATACTAAAAAGTGTCTCTGTATTCTCCTAGGTGCCGCTTTTATTCAAGATGGAGTTAGACCAGCACAGATGCTCAACAATTAACATCCTCTGATGTAATTGATCTATTTGGTCTGAATTAAGCGGATGTTTGGCTTAACCATTTTTCTTCCATTGCATTTGGATGACTCGTCAGATCGATGCTTTAGTATGAATTTGGTTGTAGTACAATTATATTTGCACTAGTACAAGTGCATGGGAGTGCAAATAAAAAGAATTCAAGTTTTGGTTTAATTTTGTTTTGGGTTTACTTTATTCTATTTCATGTCTTATTTTCTTTCACTTGTACTGCAGTCGAACAAAATACAGTAAAATTAAAAACAAAAATAAATCAAAATTTGCACCAAAATCATTTGCACTACCATACACTTTTGCATCAGTTCAAATTTATTCGCAGCCCAAACACAGTGGTCAAAAAAGCACTACGATGCCAAAGACCCATCAAAACCCGTTTTAATCAGGTCAAAGATGAATTTAACAATTGAACTGTTGAATAACTGGTCAAATAAAGACTCTCAGTTCTCTAAAATTTGCCAATTTCAAATGTACATTACTCTTAAGTCTTAAGAAGATGGTTTACCATTTGTCCAACTGTTAATCTGATGCAGTTTTTCAAGCATTGATTCAAAACTGGCAGGAGAATCGTGGGCCCTGTTCACCACGGATTTGTTAAATCAAAAGAGAACAAGATATAAACCTGGAACTTAGGCTCAGTTTGCAAAAAGTATAAATACAAATAGATACAGTTCAAATACATACAAAACTATACAAAATATAAGGTTTTGCATTCTACATTTTTGTATTTATAATTTTGTACTCCTTCCAAACTTGAGCCTTATGTACAAATACGATGGGTTAATGGGTGTCAAGTGTTGTCGTTCATGTGTGAATGTGAATCTCCTCACTCATAGAGCACACCGTCACAACATGCATTCAGCATCTCATCAACTTCCTCATTCTGAGCAACAGCACTACCGGGACGTGGATGAGAAAGCTCACTTGAATTGGTTCTCTGTGCATTCTCGTTATCCTCTAATGATGTTCTCATGGTTTCAGGTGTGAACAAATAGGTGAAGATGGCGCCCATAAAACAAGTCCCACCAAGAATCATCAATGAGCTTGTCATCCCAATCCCTTTGTATTTGCCGAACTCAGGATCGTTTCCATCTTGAGAAGCCCATAAGAACCCCACCGATCCAATAATTGCTCCCAACTTGCCGGCAGCCCCAGAGATTCCATGACATGTGGACCGAAACCTTGCCGGAAAAAGCTCTGCAGGCACAATGAAGGTAGTTGTGTTTGGCCCAAAGTTTGCGAAGAAAAGTATTAATCCATAGAGAATTAAGAACCCCATATTGGTATGCTTATCCCAATACTTATTGTAAGGAACCGCGATAGCAAATAAGCAAATGGCCATACAGAAGAAGCCTAGGATTTGGATTTTGACTCGCCCAATGCGATCGATGAAGAACACAGTGACCCAGTACCCAGGAATCGTCGAACAAACTGCAATTATTGCCTGAAATCGAGCTACATGGAAGGCCTCTTGATAGGCATTCACAGAGATGCGATTTGGGAGGTATTGCTTACAAATCTTCGACTGGAAGAGGTTGATACTGTAGAAGGCAATATCGACAAGGAACCATGCGGTGGTACAAGCAAAGAGATCTCGGCCATGGAGGCGAAAGAATTGCTTAGAGATAAGCCTATAAGATGGGTGGATTTGGTAGCACCTCGAATTCTTCTTCCATCTGATTCACAGGCACATCTAGGACCTTCCCCATGTCCTTCACTGCTTTTCGAATGTTTTGCTCCACCAAATCACCATGAATGATGACCATATGAAGTCTATATATAAGCTAAACCAGTCTTCTAACAAACAGTAACAAAGAAGAAGTAACAACGAAGAAGAAGAATAAAGCTTGAGGACCTCAACAGTTCAACTTTCCTAGATAAATGTTATATTTTGACCAGAAAGATATCGCATGTAGGGATGATAATAGGGTGGAATGGGCGAGGGTTTTGTAAATTCTATACCTAAGCATATTGGATTTTGAGAATTCAAACCCTCTCTACACATGAAAATGTAAAATCATCCTCAACCCTACCCTCCTCTCATTTAAGGATAGGGCGGGGTTGAATAGTTTAGAATTTGCATCTAACCTGTTATGATTTACTTGTTATGTATAAATAAAATACATTAACAAACAGCAAATTTTTTAATTATCTTATTAAGACATATAAAATACATAAAATATCAATTATATGTCCTTCACATAAAATGTAAAATATTATTAAAGTCAACACCAAATACATATAGAAAATTCATATGATATTCAAGTTAAATCTAATATCATACCTTACCTGTACCGCTTTGGATTGTAGAATCCTAAAACTAGTCTCATACATCTCTATTATAAATTGAGAGATGTGTGGCAGTGGGTTTGGCTGTTCTGAGAACAGTCAAATTAACCTCACAATGGCTCTGACCTCCTTAAAAGGGATGTAATTGTGAGAAACCAAATATATACCAGATGACATAGTAAAACCTAGGCCCACACCAACAGATCTACGGCCCACAATGCTTCACAGAAGTCAAACTAATGTTGTCAATATAATATTATTAGGTACCCTAAATTCTAATTAATAATTAATTTCTTTTGTTTTATATTCCAAAAGTCTTGCACTGACGTCAATTATGGGTGTAAATACGGTGAATCATGAATGTAAATTTGGACCGTGAATCATGCCTATATGGGAATATCTAGATTCGGTTTCCTTTTAATGGGTTGTGGGTGAATTTAAATAGTTTCATATGTCATATTTTATATTTCTTAAAAAAGGAGTTGGAGAGGTTTCATCACTTGAGAGGGTCTGAGGTGTGAGGTAGAGGAAAAGTTATGCAAATTCTAATTGATTTTGAGTAGTAAGGTTTAGTTGAATACGATTCTAGTCAACAGGTTGTGGTTTCCGTTCAACAGGTTGTGGAACTAATGATAAGATTCTAGTCACTAATAAAATACATGAGATTAACAACTTTTACCGTAGGGTTCATGGCCATCAATATAAACAAATAAAAATCTGGATGGTTTGTAAAATTTGCATCCGTTTAGATTTTCAATATAAACAAACTTGCAGGACACATATGTCCTTCCGAACACCCCATACACGGGCAGATACGTACTCAACATTATATTAAGGGTCCATTAATTTGGTTTGTAGACTGAATTAGAATCTAAATCAAAATAAAAATCTATCAGAATCTAAGGCTCCATTTGGATGAATAGAGCGCAAAATCATATATTTGATATTATTTTGTATGAATTTATATTGTACATATTTATATTTGTATTCCTTTCAAATTGAGCCTAATGGATGGTCTATTCCTCTCACCTTTCTGATTAAAGGGGAATCAAAATCAAAATCAGAATCAGAATTAACTAAGATGAATTTTGGTTCCCAATGGAAGAGGGATTAACCATTCCCCCAAATGGGGAATGCCATTCCACAAAAATTGCGAATGGAAGAAGCCAAACTTCCATTTCGATCTCAGGCCCCTAGCAAACGGACCCTAATACTTTTCTTCCCTTTTTTTGATGTTAGAGTGCTAGACTTTCAACCCTATTACGTGTCAGTCAGTGGAATGCTCGGAAGGATACATGCGTCCTTCCTTGAAGGAGTGAAGGTAAATTCTAATTAAACGAGAAGAATTTAATCATGCATACCGGGCAGTTTCTGGCATCATCATTCGCCAATAGTAAGTCAACGCGGCCGGAATTGCACCAAACATCAGAATCAATCACCAGGCTAGATCTGCTACCTCCGGCGTTCGGTCCTTCGAGGCGCTGGACGTACGATCAAAGATGGCGAGAACGGCCATTGTAACGGCAGCGCTAACGAGGATACCGAAGCCCTGCATCGAGAACACAGCGGCTATAAACGAGCCACGCGTTACCTTATTGGCGAATTCCGACATGATCGTGGCGGAGAGCGGGTAGTCTCCTCCGATGCCAACTCCGAGCAAGAACCGGAAGAAGCAGAGACTGGTTATCATGCATTTCCTTGTCCGGCAAATGGAGAAGCCACACCCGATAGAGCTTGACACCATAATAGTGAGCGCGAGTCCATACACTCGTTTCCTCCCAATCCGATCGCCGAGAATACCAAAGACGACCTGGCCGATCATCGTCCCTATGAAAGCAACTGCAACGACCATAGTGACCACGAAGGGCAGCTTTTGGTGTTCAGCTGGGTCATGGTAGTAGATCCTTCCGATTAATTTCATGACCGGGATAATACAAAAGAAATCGTAAGCATCGGTGAAGAGGCCCATGCCAGCGATGATGATGGCTTTGAAGTGGTAGTACTGGGTTCTCGCAGCGTCGAGGGTCGAAAGAACCTTGAGCGCCATTGCTGATGAAGAAGATTGGAAATATGTGGAACAGAAACTCGCTCGTACTGGGTGTGCTCTGTGTATGTGAGCATGGTGAAGTCTTTAACTGCTCAGTCAAGTGGGGCTACGCATTCGCACTTTGACCTGATGGAAGCCTAAGTATAATTAATTAATTCATTGAACAGATCTCTTTGCGTCATTGATTCCACAAAGATGCGAATCGAGTGTTTGACGTTCCCTTCTCGTTAGTTTCGTGTGCTTCACATTGTCGTTCCTTCTTCCATTTCTAATTTCCTACGCAGTGTTGACGAAAAAGATGTCCAGAATTATTTCCTACGGATTCTTCCACCATTGGTGGAATTGATAACGTTATTATTTAGAGTACATCTGGTTCACGTTCGAATTAGAAATAGAATCGGAATTAGAATCAGAATTAGAATCAGAATGATTTATTCCCTTAATTTGTCTATTTGTTTCACAGAATTTGAATGAATTAGAATAGGATTTGATTTTTTAGGGAAAATTCCCCATAGGTATCCTGTAATTTAGGTCGAGTGTCAATTTAGTATTCAAACTTTAAAATGCAACAATCGAGTACTTGAACTTTCATTTTTGTGACAATCTAGTACTTACCGTTAATGGACCGTCAGTTATGTATATCACGTAACCACATGTGTGAATTAAGACTTTTAAAAATATCAAAATTACCCTTGGATACTATTCATCAAGGCTTCTTCATAAACCGACATCAAAACTTCTTCATAAACCGAGGTTGAACATCGAGCGACAAAGGTCCTTCGATGATGAAAGGTCTCTCAGTGAGTTATCGATTGGTCTCACTACTCGAGCAAGCATGGAGAACTTAGAGGCCATGAACTCGCCGGGGGGAAGGTCCTCCTACCTAGATACGTCGGCGTCCTCTTCTCACAATTCATTTGATCCTCATCCAATGGTTGCCAAAGCCTTGGATGCTCTGAGACAGTCGATAGTGTACTTCCGGGGTCATCCTATTGGGACTGTTGCCGCTCTGGACCATATGGAGGAAGCTTTGAACTATGAACGTGGCGGTGGCACATCTTCGACTCCCAATATTCGACGCAGCATTCGAACTGAGTGCAGCAACAAAACCGACATCAGTACTAGTAGCAGCAACAACATTAAGCCATGTGAATTCATAGATTGTTCCAATGGCATTTGCGAGCATGACCCAATTCGGTACATGAAGACAATGCTGCAATCGAGCTTCTGCTTGCAGCCCCTTGGCAATACGCCAACTCGGCGATCAACCTTCTACAGGATACTTGCTCGATGCATACCGATGTTCTTCGAGGAATAGTCGGTCAAGACACAATTCAGGTGGCATTTGCCTGGATGGTTGATAAAGAAAGAGTGAGGAGAGGCCAGACGATGAATAGGCGGCACTGTCAGTCTGGTTTTATCGGATGGTTGATAAAGAAAATTAGATGACACTTGAGGGGCATTTTTGTCTTTTTTGCATGCTACTTAATGGCTGGTTAACATCAGGTACTAAATCATCGCAAAAATGAAAGTTTGGGTACTAGATTGTCGTGTTTTAAAGTTTGGGTACTAAATTGGCACTCAGTCTAAAGTACAGGGTACCTATCGGGAATTTTCCCTATTTTTTATGTTGTCTGAACTGAGGCGTACACGTAATAGATGAATCTTATCAGCTTGGAGGAGCTAGGTGGAAGGACGATAAGGTGCACCGAGTAGAACTTGCAACTAAAGTACGGTCAGAGGTCCTGAGGAGGAGGTCCACACTCAAGTCAGTAAATTGTGGGTAAAGGTTGCTTGAGTTGAGTTATTTAGGGCTGGTTCGAGCCAAGGAAGGTAGAGGAGGTAGGAGAGAAAGAGGATTGAAGAGAGGGAGCAATTAGAGATAATGTATCTTGAAGGGAGATGTCTTTAAATAACTAAGTGTCGTGATGAACTCAGACATATCACTTGTGGGGCTTAAGGGAGGAGACTGCTCGTTGAGGTCTTTGGATGATTTCATGTTCCTTGGCTGGGATGCTTATAGATGAGATAAATTATGTGTCAAATTTCTTTTTGAGGTTCTCGCTTGTTGGATTGTTTGCCGACCTCAATGCATAATGTGCTGACTCATTGGCATGGCCTGAAGAGGTCGGTTGAGCCCAAGACACAGTAGTAGCCACGTGGCAACTTCGACTGACTATGGCATGGCCCGAAGACTAGTTCCCTAGTTTTGAACTCGAGGATAGAAATGTTTGGCCGAAGTGAAGCGAAAGAATTCTTGTCATGCTTGACTTAGGAACTTAGTATTTTCATTGTGTCAGTCGAAGTGTGGTTAGACTGGGTCAGGGAACAACGGCATTGGTTCAAAAATTTTGAAATTTAAACATTAATTGTACAGTCCAACGGTCGTCTTGTTTCAACTTCCTAAGTTTACGAGCATGCGGAGTGCGAGGATTGATCTAGACCATTTGATGGCCTCAATCTCGACCATTGGTTGCCTCTATATAAAGAGGGGGCAAACCATTTAACTTTGTAATTTGAGTGAGAGCACCCTCTGGAGTTTGACTGGTCTTTAGCTACTCTTCATCCTTGTCTAGTGTCCTCATCCTCTAGAGTTCGGCTAGTCTTCGACTACTCTTCATTCTCGCCTGGTGTCCTCGTCCTCTAAAGTTTGGTTCGTCTTTTGCACGTTTTCCCTTTGGTAAGATGTCCTTGTCCTCATCTTCTTCATTTGCTTCTTGTTCTTCTTCTTTTTCCACTTCTTTTGGTTCGAGTAGCTCTAGCTCAGGGGGTGAGTGTGAGTCGAGGCCTCAATGCGAGACTACTAAGGTAATTATCCTTGAGATTGATGCTAATGCAACCGAGTTTGAAGAGGAGGAGTCTGGTAGTGAGCATGTTCCAGCAGAGGCCCAAGAAGAGGAGGGTAGACCTGTTCATGGGCTGGGTAGCCCAACGGGCCGCCTGGTCCTCGGACGGGCTTGAACACAGATTTGAGCTCGCGGGCTTGACCTCAAGCCTAAAAGCCCGGCTCGAATTTATTTTGGGCCGGGCACGAAATTTGTCTAAATAGCCCAGCCCGAGCCTAGCCCGACTCAACCTTTATACGAATTAAACCATAAACCCTAAATATCCTAACCGCTCTCTTCTCACTCATCTCTTTCTCTTAGTCTTAGCTAAACCTCAGTTCTCTCTTCTCAGTTTTCACAGTCACAACCTCATAGGCAAACACTCTCAGGTAGACAGAACCGGCGAACACTCTCACCAGCGCAACCAATGAACTCTAGCAGACCGACGGTGAGTCCTCTCTCTCTCTCTCGTTCCTCTTCTCACTTCTCCTTCTCTCTCAGAATCTCAGACGCGAACTCAGGCACCGACGAACACAGACATTGGTGGTGAGTCCTCTCTCTCTCTCTCTCTCTTCATGTCTCTCTCTTTTTCATTGTTCCTCTTCTCACTTCTCCTTTTCCCTCTCAAAATCTCAACTCAGCTTTATCAGATGCGAACTCAGGCACCGACGAACTCAGTCCTCTCAAAATCTTTCCGTTATTTATTTGTCATTTGACATGATAAAAAATTACATATGTGATATGGGTAATGAATTTCTCTCTTATTTTTCTTTTGTAGGATGGCTTGGAACTTGGAAGTTGTAATGTTCAATCTTATTGGTGAATTCAAGAATGAATGGAGATGGCTAAAACATGTTTTGCTTGATATGGGCAATGAAGTGGTCTTTTATTTTCTTTTTTAGGGTGACTTGGAACTTGAGAGTTGAGATATTCTATCTTGTTGGTGAATTCAATAATGGATGGAGAACATGTTTTATGGATTTTGTTTGTCATATTTAGATTTTTTTTTATGATTTTGGAGGAACATGAAGTTATATGAATTTAGTTTCAGTGTGTTATGCTATTTGTAGGAATATGAAGCTATATGAATTTGTCTCATATGTTTTATTTTCGGGTTTTCCAAGGGAACATATTAAACAACCTTAAAGAAGGTTGTTGATTCACTTGATTGTAAGAAAAAAATGAAATTAAAATGGATTCTTTGTAGGAGTTAAAATGGATTATCATGTGTTTTATTTCAGGTTTGCCTTGGTTGTATAGAAACAACCAAACAACAGGGAACATATTAAACAACCTTAAAGAAAGTTGTTGATTCACTTGATTGTAAGAGAAAAATTAAATTAAAATGGATTCTTTGTAGGAATTAAAATAGATTATGGCCATTTTAATAGATTTTATGATTTAAGAATGTAAAATGGTGCTTTAAAACGTAAAAGAAAGCACAATGCAATTTTTAATAAAAGGGAAAAAAGCTACCTTTCTGTTAGGTCAGGCTTCGGGCTTTTTATTATGGCCAAGCTCGGAACCAAGTTGTAGGCTCGTTGGTTGGGGCCGAGTTTGGGCTCGAGCCTAACAAAATCCTATTTATGAAGAGTAAAAGCCCAGTCCGAGCTCAGCTTATCCCGGTCCATGAACAGGTCTAGTTGAGGGGATGAGGTTGAAGAGACCGAGTAGGCTGAAGTAGAAATCCTAGATGAAGAACCCGAAGTTCCCCTGAGGTTTAGGGAGTCTTTCACCATGGCTCCTTGTAAATTGGTGGCGGAGGACATGCTTAAGGGAAGCATATAGCATCTCTCCTGTGGAGAGTTTGATCGCGAGCCTAAGGTTTCCCCAAGATAGTGGCTGGTGACCGTGCTAAGGTGGCACCGCATCTTGCCTGTCTAGTTGATGCCGAACTGCTTCTGATACATGGTTGGGCTCCTTTGCTTCTGCATCATTCATGGCATTCTGATCACCTTACCCATGTTTATGTATTTTCTTTATCTAAAGAAGAACCAACCGGGCTATTAATATTTCTGAGCCCAACTGAACACCGAGGGGCTTGTCAGAATTCCCTCCTTGGTTAAGTACTAGAAGGAGGGGTTTTTCTTTATGAAACACAAGAATGGATGGCCTTTTGCTCCCAAGATGGTCATCCCAAGGACAAAAGTGAAGGCCTTGACAAAGGCTGAGTTGAAGAAGGAAGAGATAGTGGCCCTAAGGCGAATTACGAAGGTGT